TAGAATGAGGCTTCAAAACCCCAATCTCCCCATCCCTGTGGCACCATGACTCGGCTCCAACCATGTTCACTTCATCCCCAGATCACCCAGGAAGGAACATGCACACATCAGGGCTTTGACACAATGTTTGGAATTTTCCTTGTGCAATTAAAAACACCCAAGGAACAGTCTTATGCTTATAAGGTCTTTATCCAGATCAAAATTACATAATGAAATTAAAAATTTACATGTTTTTTTTTTCTACCCAGGATGGATTAGGCCATATTTCTCTCCCACAAGTTAGCTCCTTCCATTTATGTTTCTGATCTGTTTCTTACCAATACTCAAGTTTTAAATTCTGGCACAGCCTAAGTTGATAAACTACAGCAAAAATAGGAGTATGATTATTTATAAACACCCTGGAACGCAAAGGTTCAATTCAGCTCACAGACGCATTTTGTTTGTCTCATACTGTTTTTGAAATTTGACTTTGAGTTTTATACCCAAGTTGCTTTCCTTAGTTATGCTTACTACCTGCCCCCTGAAAAAATCTTTGTGTTTATGATCCATGTTTGGCAAACTTCTTTCCAAACATAGGTAGGGTAGGCAGGTATAGTGTCTCAATGCAGAATCTAAAGACAAACCTCCACTCTGGACCATCAGCCCTCCTATAACCCTGAGGATTAAAAGTAGTTAATGAAGTCAGTCATCTGGTCTTCTGTGAAGTGATAACACTTTAAACTTATATCTGCCTGGAAACAACAACCTGGTTTTGTAAATGTGAGTTATTGCATGGAATTGAGCTAAACAGTGAAAAAAACTATACTGCAATACTATGGGAAAACCTGATGAGAACTATTTGGAGAATTTTAGATTTTAGAGTAACCTGCCAGTGCTGCTCTCTCTCTCTCTCTCTCTTTTTTTTTCCTCATCTCAAATTACCTCACCTAAATAAACCTACACAAGCCACTTCCATTGATTTCTTTCTGAAGACATCTGTACAGTTTCAGAAATAATTGTTATCTTTCAAAGTTTTTTAAAACAAAGAACCTGAACTATTGGCTTTCCTTGAAAATCTAACTTGCACAATTCTAAATTAATATCTCCCAGACATATTTTGAATAATGTAAAAAGGTAAAGCCCACATGAAAATAAAAAAAAATTAAATAGAATTTAAGCTGTCCTATATAAATTTAGTTTATCTTTATTCCTTTAATAATCTTCAAACAAAAACACTTTATTCTACTTCAAAAATATCAGTACCCTGGCAGTTTCTTTTAAATAGTTTTCTTCTTGAAAAGTTCAAATATTCCATGTTCCACAAAACATGTTTCAAAAACAGCATTTCAAAATCATGGAATTCTCCATTTCCTTTACACATGCCTATAGTAAAGGAAAAAATTCCTTTTATTCTTAGAGATATAGATTTATTTCAAATTAGTTTTCTTTATGTACTTGGTAATACTTTTACCAAGTCACTTTTTTGGTTGTTATCCATTAGATCTGCAGAAGTTGGAGTACTATCTTACCAGTGGACTTATTAAGTTTATCAGTTAAAGCTCCAACAGTAAAAAATAGAACACCACCTCAGAGTTATAGAGAAAGAATTGAGGCTCCCCGAGGCTTCTTTTGTTGCAGAAACAAAACAAAACAGTCTTTGGATTTCCATGGCAAATCATTAAGAGAATTTTTGGAAACTATCCTAATACAACTTATTTTCCTGAGCCTGAGTGGTCACCTCTTCTAAAGCCTCGTCAACAGTCATTGAAATGGATTGTCTTCATTTGGCATTCACTGGCTGATAGAGATATACAAGCTGTAAGTGTTCAAGAAGGCTGATGTCCACAGACCTCGCTGAAGGGCCTACTGGATTACAGACAATGACTGAAGTCAGAGCTGAGTAATCCCCTCCCTCAGACGGGAGCAGGCTTTTCTTTGGTAATTGCACTTACTTTGATGACTTGGAAAGAGGAAGTGTTTAATTACATGGTGCATGGATACATCTAATTTAACTGGTCTCAGAAAGTATTAAAGTCATTCTCTGGGATAATAGAGTTGAATTCCAAATGCAGAAAACATTAGGATTATTGTAATCATGCATCTTGTACATCTGATTATGTCTACTGTTTCCGTAGCTGTCGAGGGTACAGTAAGGACTTTTAAAACTCATTTCAGCCCTATGTCAAAAGTATGAGGTTGTCTCTTGTGATATTTTAAAAAAATACAACTTCAAACCCGTCTTAGGAAAATGTTCACATGGAAAGTAGCTATGACCCAAAGTGTCAGGGAAAACACAATTATTCATCTCACCCAAATGTTTTCATTTCCAGGAAAACTTTGGGCCACCACTGAGAATCCAAGTTCATACGAAAAATGTTGGTTCTAAAATAACAAACAAGTTGATTCTAAAAGGCTAAGTCTCTAATTTACTTGCCTTCTGCCTGTGTACCAAGTTATTGCAACTTTTGTATACTTTCCTATTTGGACCCTAAGAATGCAATGGCTATTGCATCCTAGGGTAGGAGGACTGCATGCCCACCAACAGGCAGGGGGAAGTTGGCTTTGAAATGAATGCATAGACTGCCCACTCTGCCAGACTTTGTCACTGCACTGCAAATGTACTATCAGGTCTAGTAATAATTAATGTCGTTTTTAAACATTCGTTTAAAATCTTGCTTGGCGTTGACTTGTACTGACATAACCTTCAAACACGTGGTATCTACAGAACGTGTGAAGTGCAATTAACAAGTTTTGCTTGAAAAAGTTTGTGTTTGGTTTGGTTTTTGTTGCAAAACCAGGGCTAAGAAGATGGCGGATGAAGAGCATATTCGGCACTGCATGCTTTACGAGTTCCAATTAGGAAGAAAAGCAAGTGAGGCTGCAAAAAACATCTGTAGTGCTCTTGGTCAAGATGCAGTTAGTGCCAGAAAATGCCAGCGTTGGTTTGAGAAATTTCTCGAAGGAAATTTTTCGTTAGATGACAAGAGTGGTCGAGGCCGTGTGTCCAATTTTGATCAAGAAGCTCTTCAAGCTCTTTTGGTGCAAAATCCTCAAATTACCCAACAAGAGCTTGCGACAACTTTAAATTGTTCACAAAAAAACAATTTCCAATCAATTGCGTGCACTTGGCAAAGTCCAAAAGTTTGGAAAATGGGTTCCTCATAAGTTGACCGACAACAACCATAATCAAAGAGTCACAATTTGCAGTTCGCTCCTCTCTCGTCAAAACCGTTTGCCGTTTTTAGAGCAAATTGTTACCGGAGATGAAGAATGGGTGCTGTATGTTAATTTGAAAAGGCAGCCTCAATGGTTGGACAAAAATGAGGCTCTGCAGCCCACGCCAAAACCTGACTTGCATGTGAAAAAAGTGATATTGTGTGTTTGGTGGAATTTTAAAGGAATTCTTCATTATGAACTTTTACCATCTAACCTAGGGGTGTCGAACTCAATCAGAGAAGGGGCCAAAATCTAAAATCCAGCCTAAATCGCGGGCCGAATGGTTTACTGAACAGTCATAAACTGTCATTGTGATGGAAACGCAGCGGAGTGCAGTGATGACAGCACGGTGTGGGCCACATTGCAAGGCCTGGCGGGACGGATTTGGCCCGCGGGCCTTGTGTTTGACACATTTGATCTAACCAAACCATTACAAGTGCAGTGTATAGTGCCCAATTGGAAAGGTTAGCCCAAGCTTTAAGAGAAAAAGAATCCGCGCTGATTAATCGGAAGGGCGTAATTCTTCACCATGATAACGCACGACCACATACTGCAAGAATCACTGCTGAAAAACTGCGCCAGTTGGAATGGGAAGTTCTCCCTCAACCTGCATATTCTCCTGATATTGCCCCTTCCGATTACCATTTGTTTCGTTCTTTGCAAAACTTTCTTCTTGGAAAAAAATTTAATAATGGAGAATGCCTCAAAAATGCATTGACTGAATTTTTTGCATCAAAATCACAAGAATTTTACAACAGAGGGATTAAAATGCTTCCTGAGCGTTGAGCACAAGTAGTAGAAAACAACGGCAACTATATTGTTGATTAAATTTTGTTGTATTGTTTAAATAAATTCGATTAAAAAAAAAAAAGTATTAGGAAACGACATTAATTATTACTAGACCTAATAAATCACCCGCAATCTCATGTGGGAAAACATCATTATGTTAGTCTAAAACCGAGCTATTAATTTCTAGATCTGATGTGTTGATATCATAGTCACAATGTTTTGAGAAAGCTAATTATTTGAAATGCTTCTAAGTTAAGAATGGTATTCTGAACTCTATAAAGTTATATATTCCTGAATGCTCCTCTTCATTGCTCCTCAACGATAGTAGGTTAAAGATGAGCATTCATGATAAGCCTGAAGTTTCTATTTTGGGTGTCCTCAAGCTTCACAGCAATCATACAGGAGCCTTATTAATTTTTAAAAAATAATTGTTATAATGCATACTCGTGAGGCTCTTGGCATGAATCTAGAGTACTTGTTAGTCCATGGAGTGATGGTTGGAATCTGGGACATAAGACTGGGGCTAAATTTCTTTACCCTCCTAACCCCAGAGAGTCTTTAGAAAAATAGAAACAAAAGAGCACAAAGTACTTAAGGTAAGACACTGTTGTATTCATAATACAGAGAAATAACCACCATGCCTCGCGGACAGGAGATACAGTTCTCCGCGGGGCTACAAAACGGTGCTAGTAATAATTTTAATTGGATGCTATCTTTGCTGCCTTCAAAAAAGTATCATAAAGTGGAATTATTACAGGCTACAAATGCACTTACAGTGCTGGCCTCTCACCGGAGGAAGCGGATCACATTTATCCTTGGGAGGGGAACATCAACGGGGTTCTATTCGCTCCCAACACATGCATCCCCAGCTGCCTGCTATTTGCTTCTCTGTCTAAGAGATCAATTGGAATTAGGTGCTGCAGACAAGGATGCTAAGTTTTGCTGGCCTTGGCCTTGGGGGTGGGTGCAGCCCCATGGAAAGGGCCTGTGTGCTCCTGGGCCGGGCGAGGACATACCTGCAGAGGACTGGGTGGCGTGAGCTGTGACGGAAGGCCGTGTCCCGGAGATGGGCTGAGTTTCTGAGGGGGGCTTGCATTCTGCTGAGTTGGAGACGGTTGGTTCTGGTTCTGGTTCTGGGGGTGAGGGTGGCACTGAGACTGCGGGGGCTGCGATAGCGGAGCTGGCAGCTGCTGGGAAGCGGGTGGTGGCTGCTGGGGTGGTGCTGGCTGGGGCTGGGGCTGCGGTGCTTGGGACGACTGGTGGGGAGCCTGCGGGTGGCTGCTGGGGTGGCTGCTGGGCTGTGGAGGCGGCGGCGGCTGGAGCTGCTGCAGCTGCTGGAGCTGCTGGAGCTGGGAGTTCAGGGATGAGGTAGCTGCAAGAAAACACACACACACATGTGGGGGTGAAGCCATCACAACAGAACATTTTACTGTGTCTAACAGAACACGATACTCTGGCAGCCGGTCTGGTGTGAGCAGCTGCCCTTTAGGAAAAGTTTACCCTCTCACCTTTGGTGCCTGAAAGTGTTGTGGGGCCCTGGCAGGAAGAGTCACTTTGCCGGTGTGGCTCAGTGGTTGAGCATGGACCTATGCATCTAGAGATCATGGTTCAGTTCCCCGTCAGGGCACATGCCTGGGTTGGGGGCTCCATCCCAAGTGGGGGGGCTGCAGGGGCAACCCATTGATGAGTCTCTCTCATCATTGCTGTTTCTATCTCCCTCTTTGAAATCAATAAAAACATACATATATATTTTTAAAAAGAGTCACTTCTTGGGAAAAATGTAAAAATTCAAGGAAGATGAGGATGTACCACATCAAGTTATTACTTTGAAAGGTATTGAGCAGTGCCAGCCAAGATATCACTAGAACTGGAGGTCATGTTGAAAAGTACTTTCTCTCTTCCTTTCTACACTGCTTGGGCAATACACTTAGGCTTTCAAGATTTGATTTAAGGTTCAACCAGTTTAACTCTCTTGGCAAATGTTGGACTGGAGTTAAGAACAGAAAACAAAATAGTTTGCAAGCTTTTCATCATCAACGCCATGAATTCTGTCATTTTCACTTGCTAGTTCAGACCTCTGCCCACGGGCTTAGACATGCTAGTTTCAAGTTCCACCAATACATGTTTCTCTGTTTTGCAGTCAGAATCCTGACCGTGACGTTTTTGCCTGATCATCACAGATATAGAGATACCCCTCCCCGCAAAACGAGGTTATTGTAGGCAATTGTGACCTGTGTACTGTGGTAACTAAACACATTAACACCCAAAGGACATGCAAGAAACTGAGAAAATGAAATCATCTTTAAAGATTTTCTTTCTTTATCTTTTCTTTAAGATTGCTTATTATGTGAAAAGTAAGAATTGGTAGGACGAGCTGTCTTAACGCCGAGCAAACAAAATTTGTTCTCAGACTCCCCATCTAGCACTGAAGAATTTCTACAGCAGAAAGGCATTCAGTTCGGCCAAAGAATGATCTAGAGAAAATTGCTGCTGCAAGTTCACGACCTTCTTTGCCTGACTCTCAGTCTGAAAACTTTCTAACAAACCTACACATAAATATAAGGATCAATGTTGAATGCATAGGGCTGCAATGTTGTCCTGCTCCTCCCTTACCTAGAATTTGTCAAGATTTCCAGAGGTAAGAACTCATGGTTGCAACATTAAACTAGTCCCTGTTTTTAGAAAATGTTCCTTTAAAAAATAAAAACAACAACCTAGTGATTCCATAATGACATATACGTGTTTTTATATAACAAGTATGTTCTCAAGAACATATCTGTGTGTACTTGGTCCCTATGTTGAGGACACCTGAAGGACGTTCTCTGTAAGGAAATCAACCAGTGACTATCTTTGTAAAGTTAAAAACAATTTTGTAAAATTCGAAGAATAAGGCACTAACTACCATAGTACTGTGCCAGGTAATAGGTAATATTTCAAAACTGCCTTTAAGGAGATTGTAGTCTATTTGTGGAGATAAGATTAACTCGTAAGAAATGATCAGGCTGGAGGTAAATGCTACAGAGTCCTGCTAATGATAGATGTTTGATACATATCAACTGATTGACTAAGGGGTCAACAGTGTACAAACTGACCAAAATGGCCAAGAGGAGATATTCCGGGTGGAGAAACATCCAGAATGCAGCAGAGCTCAGGTGATATTTCTGAAGGACAATGTGGAGAATAGACTGCTTGGAACAGAGGCTTTGGGAATATTTGAGTGACTTTAGACTTTAGAGAAGGTGAGGAACTTATCCTGTGAAAGTGATGGGAAGAGGGAACACTCCCAGTTAACTCTGGTGTAAGTCAGATTTCAAATATACAGCAGATTTCAAATACACAGTTAACTGGAACACTCCCAGTTAACTCTGGTGTAAGTCAGATTTCAAATCTACAGCAGACTCACGTTAGTTTCAACAAGGCATAGCTGTAGTGAGGAGATGTAACTTGGTAATTCTTGGGGATACCAAATATTAATTCTGTGCTCTCAGCTACCAAGTAGGGCTTCCATGTTGGACCAGCTGGGATGGCAAGTCCTCACTGGGTCAATGAATTACTCTAGGCCTGCTCAGCGCCGGGTCTGGCGTGTGTCCCTCCTTGTGTGTAAACCCAGGGTGCTCTGAACTCTAGAGGCAGAGGTGGTGTGCATCAGAGAGGGCTGGAAGATGCCCAGTCAGTAGGGACTCTCTGAACTTTTATACTCAGTTTTGCTGAAAACCCAAAACTGCTCCAAGAAATAAAGCCTATATAATAAAAATTCCAGTCATCATGCCATTTATTGGAACTTGAAGAGTGTGGTTTGGTTTTGCCCTTCTCTGCACACACACACCCCCCTCCCCCCTCCCTGCAGCTCCTGTTGTACAAAATCACATCTTATTGAAGATCTGGGAGCCCAGCTCCATCCTTGCCTCCCAGGATCTTCTGTATTCATCTGGGGTGGAAGGGGGGTTGTGGGGGGTGGGGCTGGATGTCTCCTTTGGGTGGACTTATACAGACTTTGGGAAATAATTGCATCTGGCCTCCTGCCTGATTCAAATCAATCCCGTCCTGATTTCTTTCAGGTGGGAGGCACAGCTGTCAGTGCTTATTCTCATGGTTGACTTAAATACCATCCTGTTTCATTTTGGTTAGAAAAGCATTTATCTAAAGCAGCCTTTAGACACAGGAAAGACTGGGGAACATTGGCAGATAGATACTGGCCGGCGGGTAGGTGCAACAGACCTTAGCCTACTGAGGAGACATGGTCCCAAATCTGTCTTCATCCATTTCTGTTGGTGAGTTCACATGGATTGTTTCTTTCCCATGACCTGCAGCCTGCCTGGAGAGGCAAGACCTAAACTAAACTTCTGAGTTAGATCAACTAATTTGGCATCTGCATGCAAAGTGGACAATAAAATATGTTCAGATATATCCTGATGCAAAGGAAATCATGAGTAGGTCATACAAGAATGTAATGTAACTTTTGTCTAAAAGTGCCAGATCCACCTACACAATAGTATGAAAATAAAAGCTTAAAAATGCTAAGTCTGTCAATGGCTAATTGTATAAGGCACACTGAGACATGGACACCAGTGAGGAAGGTTCAAGAACATATTTGAATTTTAGGGAATGTTTGCAAATAAAATGGTAATTTTGTAGAATAAAACTCTGACTCATTTATGATATATTAAGAGTTCAAAATAAGTGCTTTATAGTTAGAAAAGTAGTTTCATCGAACATGCATTTATTCATTTTTCAAGACAACCACGTGGAGAGATGCTATCAGTGCCATGTTATGCACATAGAACCTGGGTTCAGAAAGTTAAGTGACTTTCCCAAGTTTACATAGCTAGTGAGTGCTATGAAAAACTCAATCCCAGGCCTGTCGCCTCCCTAAGCCTCTTAACATACAGAATCCCTTACATAGACAGGGAAACCTATTTCTCCCCGAGAGCTGAAACAAAGATAACCACCTGCTCGTACACAGGTGCCCTCCTCAGCCCTGCTCTTGAGCAGAGGTGGCACCGGTACTTGGCCACAGAGGCTAATTTGAAGGTGTCCGCTCAGTGATGAATTGTTCAGCTCTTGGGAAAGTGTGTAAAGTCGTACCTATGTCTTGCTGCAGGCAAAACCTTTTTTAAAACATGCTGATATGAAACACAAATGTGCATTCTGAGGATAAAGATGCTAATTTGGGGGTGAATTGTGAGTTATTACAGAGAACAGAGACACGGAGTTGCAGGAACAGAGGTGAGAAGTAGGACTGCAGGGAAGGCGGGGAAAGGCTACAGTACCTTTATTCATGGCACACGCTGGCCTTCATGGTAAGAGAATGTTTCCTTCATGCTGAAATAGGGCGGCACCAGCTCTGTGACCAGGCTTGGTGACATTTTAAGGAAAATAACTGAGTAAGATATCAGCTTATGTTGTCCACAGAACTCTGTGACGTGTTGCCTCTAAGGCTGGGTGGCAGCCCTGGCTGGTTTGGCTCAGTGGATAGAGCATCAGCCTGTGGACTGAAGGGTCCCAGGTTCGAATCAGGTCAAGGGCATATGCCTGGGTTACGGGCTCTGTCCTTAGTAAGGGGTATGCAAAAGGCAGCCAATCAATGATTCTTTCTCATCATTGATGTTTCTATCTCTCCCTCACCCTTTGTCTCTGAAATCAATAAAAATAAAAAAATATATATATATATATAAAATAAAGTTGGGTGGCAGTTATAAGTTCCCCAGATGAATTTGTTCTTCTTTTTTTGACTGTTCTCTTCATTACAAAAAAAAAATAATAATTATATATATATATATATTGATTTCAGAGAGAAATGGAGAGAGATATAGAAATATCAATGATGAGAGAGAATCATTGATTGGCTGCTTCCTGCACTGGGGAACAATCCTGGAGCATGTGCCATGACCAGGAATCCAACTATGACTTCCTGGTTCATAAGTCGACTCTTAACCACTGAGCAATACTGGTCAAGCACTAATGAACTCTCTATCTGACTATCTATCTATCTATCTATCTATCTATCTACCTATATAAAAGGCTAATATGCCTCAGGAGTTTGATTGGGAGACTGGGAGTTTGATCACTCACTATGACATGCGCTGACCACCGGGGGGTGGCGTGGAATGAAGGAAGGCTTTGGTCGGCAGCCAGAAGGCCCCTATGGGCCCTGATCACCTGCCAGGCCTAGGGACTCTACCCATGCACGAATTTTATGCACCGGGCTTATAGTTTTGAATATAAAATATGCTCAATAAAATTTTTTGAGATATAATTGGTATGTAACATTTCATTAGTTTTAGGTGTACAACATAATGATTTGATATATGTATACATTGTAGAATGATTATCACAAGTTTTACTTAACATGTATTACCACACATTGTAACT